TGTTTCCCAGAGCAGTGTCCATGATACCTCAAAATCTACTTGACCAATTGGTTTGAAATTTAGGTGCACGTATGACTATAGTTCGTACCAGAATCGACCCAAAATTTTTAGTTTTTACATTTCTTTTAGACTCTTGTATACGTTTGTGTTATTTCTATAGCTTTTTCCGAATATTTTTTACTCGAGAAATAGTAAATTAGTTTAAAATTTAACACCTTATTATTGGTCTTCAAAAACTACAAGAAAATAGTTCCGCTAAACTATATTTTCGCCTACTTTTATTGCTATAAAAACACAAAAATGAGTCAAAAAGACTCTACTATATCGTAGAAGATTGAAAGCAATTATGTTCGAAAATGGAAGTGGTTCTAATTTCAACTATCTTCAGTCCAACAAATTTTAAAATGTCCCCGAAACATATATAAAAAAACCTTGTAAATTTGACTGCAAAAGGTGTTACAATTTATTCACAAAAAATTCTCCAAGTGACTTTAAAAAAACCTCACACTTCCCTACAATATTTTTAAAAATATAAAAATACCGCAAGACTCTACTATACCGTCAAAAATTAAAACCGATTATATTCGAAAATACACAGGGCCACCAATTTCAACTTTCTTTCGCCCAAACAATTTCAAAATTTCCCCAAAACACGTACAAATAAACCTTGTAAATTTGACTGCAAAAGGTGTTACAGTTTATTCACAAAAAATTCTCCAAGTGGCTTTAAAAAAACCTCACGCTTCCCTGCAATATTTAAAAAAATATAAAAACACCGTACAGCTTACACAGAACAAATTCCGCCTCAGAATGCTTGGTTTCGAGAGAAAACGGCGGCCTCGATTCGCGAAATCATTTACCACTGACCGCGAAAGATTATCGTTGGCCCCGTCACTGGCAACGACCCCATAAAATTCAGCATTTAGACGGAGGGGCTGTTCCGGCGGCGAATGGCGTCGAGTGGTCCATTACGAGTTCACGGGAAGGCGTCGATAGTCGTTATCTTCCGGTTATCCCGGTTCCTTTTTCGGCTTCCCTTTTCGCCGGGGGAGGCCGAACCCCCGTTCGAAGTCTCCTCGACGGAGCCCAGGGTCGAAAGGACTTTGCCAGGTCTTCAGCCCAGCCGTTTCCCCCCTCCCTCCCCCCACCTACCATCGGTGGTTTTCGTTCTCGTAATTAGTCTGCTCTCCAGCGAAGGATGCTTTTCCTTGGACCGCAGCCGGAGCAATCTCTTCATAATTCCCGCGGACTTATCTCGGATGTTTCTTCGCGAGCAAACAGATCTTAGACGAGGGCTGCGGGAACTCCGCCGTGATAAAATTAAGGTGGAGCGGTTCGTTAAGGGGCTCGCGGGACCCTTTTCGCAGTCGAAGGTACTTCGACTGGCAAGTTAGAGAGGTGCATTACGATGTTTACCCATCCCCGCGGCCGATGCCGGATATTGTGCCTTCGATGGAGGGCTTTTCCCAGGCACTTTGTTCCCCGGCCGGGCTCGAAGATATCGCGTTGTAGGGCTGCGCGTAACATCGTCCGGCACGTGTTCGATTTCTTCCATCCGTGGGTGTACGAAACCTCCTCGATGCCGCCCGGAAATCGTTGAAAAGGAATTGCTCGATTTCTCTGGGAACGTTTCAAAAGCTAGGCTCGCCCAACGGGGAAATCTTATTTCGATGATGATGGGTCAGGCGCGCGTTCGAATGGAAGTTTATTCGTACGTAAGCCGATTTTAGCCCTTTAAACCTCGCCCTACCGAATCGGGGTACATTTTATATCGGGCTGCTTGTACCTTTCGGAATGGTCCAGTTCTGGTTTTTGATAAATAAATTTAAATTTCACTGTGGGAGGGTTGAAATTTATTTTGGAGGAGTCTCACGCGCTGTGGTACGAGAAATATAACATAATATACAGGGTTATTCATTTAATTCTTTCACTCTAACCCTTAAATCAGTTACAACTGAATTACATTAATTAATAATGATTCTTATAAAATTAGTAAATCCTTTAAAACATTTAAGAAACTATGAACTAATTTCAAATAATTACATTGATATATACTGTAAAATTATTATTTATACAACATGCAGTTTATAAGAAAACTTAAAGTGAAAGAGATAAATGATTAACTTGTATACAATATAATTTTCCAGAACCCTTTTTCCTACCCCTTGTCGATTTCACTTAAAAATTAGTTTTTCATTTTTAGTAATTTTGTTTGACGCTCTACAGAAAAGTTGTGTTATACTTTTTTATAGGTACCCATGAGCTCTACTTCAGAAAAAAATTTCATTGAAATATATTCACTATTGAAGGAATTATGGCCGTTAGAAAATTGGACCATTTTTATGGGGTTTTTCTCATTTTACGGGGTGAAGGAACTACTTTTTCAATATTGTTAGAATTTCTACATATTCTCCGCTAAAATACGCGTTGTTTCCACTTTGAAACATTAAAATCGCCCAATCCGTTCAGGAGTTATGACGTTTTAAAGATTCGCATGAAATTTCAGTGAAACATATCAATGATATGGTCAGATATTATTTTCGGTGAGGAATTTTTTTCTCGAAAATGCGTAGGAATTCAGGGATATGTGTAATGATAAAAAATGATTGTAATTGACCCTTCTAACTAAATATAATTTTTTTAGTACGATTTGAAAAATTTTTTTTTCGCCGAAAAATTTCAACACCTTCTCGAATTTTTTTCTCGAAAGTGGGTAGGATTTTGAGGGTATGTGTAATGACTAAAAATGATTGTAATTGACCTCTCTAACTAAATATAATTTTTTTTAGTACGATTTGAAAAATTGTTTTTTCGCCGAAAAATTTCAACACCAACTCAAATTTTTTTCTCGAAAGTGGGTAGGATTTCGGGGGTATGTGTATTCATCAAAATTGATTGTGATCAACCCCTGCAACCGAGAAGAATTTTTCCAGAATGATTTGAAATTTTTTAATTTAATCTTTTAATAAGGTTTTAATTAAGCCTCAGTCAAGAAATTGATATTCTTGATTTTCGTCTTATTTCGGCCTCTAGAATCTCCCATTAATATTTTTCCCACTGGTGGCAACCTAGATAGTTCTAAATATTGTGTAAAAATAAAACTTAGATTAATTTATAGTCGCTATGACAAGGAAACTTTGAAGGTTTTTTGGGAATGGTTCGAAACAAAAGGTTTATCTAGCAACCAAGATAATTAAGAATAGTTGCTCTGACAAATTTGTTTAAGAATAATTGCTCTGACAAATTTGTTTCATACAGATTTATGAGCGACAGTGAAGCGAAATATCCTTTTCCTGTCCCATAAACAGGAACCAAACATCCAAGAATCGCAAGGAAATCGCAATGTCTCGCATTAATAATAGCAACTTTGCGAGATTTATGAAAACTCTTGCACCCGTATGGACACGCCAGACGGGCTGAGCAAATCCGATCGAACGTCGGAAGAAAGACAGACGTCTGCAGTACGACTCGTCGAGATTCATCGGATTGTTTCCGCTGCATCGCGATTCAATAAAGTCGCCCGAACAAACGGATGAAACAGATGGCCTCCCACGGCGATCTCAACTTTTCCCATTTTCCCTCCTCGATCATCCCGGGGCGTGGCGAATTTCGTTTTTCGCGCGAATCTGTTTTTCCGCCGATTAGCTTAGCACGCCTCCGACAAAGACGCAACCTTCTCCCCCTCCCCCTTCGACATCCCGTGCTACGACAAAGCGAAATTCCGTGGGAGTCTCGTCCGAAACTGTCGTCCCTTTTTTCCGCTATCAGCGATCGTTAATTAACAAGGAAAAAGATCTAGACCGTGACGCGGAACAACGGTCGCTATCGTTTTTCCTCGCAGTCTGTTTGTCCCCGTCCAGCGAACAAGATTATCCTTCCTTAACGGGAAATTAAATTCCCGGCGTAATTATTCACGATCCTTGGCGCTTTTGCCCGCGTTATTCGCTCGTGGTCCATTGTACGGTGCACCATGGTGACGATTATTATGGTATATGGTCCCTTGATTTAGAAAAGATATCGTTTATTAGCAACTTTTCATATTTTTCCAGAATATTGAGTTCTTGTTGTTTGGTAGCAATTTATTAGCTAAATACATCGTTGATCGAGGCCCTTTCGAGATCGATGACTTCTTGATTCGTCACTATTTTACACTAGAACAGGACAGTTATAGTATGTTTATTTGTACCAAAGTGCAAATAAGTAAATAGGTGTAATATTGCAAATAAGTGTCTATACATCAAATCCATATTGTCAGTCATATTCATCAAAAATCCAGTAGAGTAAATTTTTTACCAGTTTTATTAGAAATTAGATCACTTTGACTACTTTGGTAGTTCCAGTGATAAAGCAATAATTTTCTCGACGAAAACGAGCTCAAGTACTCCATTCGAATATGCATTTATTTGAGATTCTACTGCAGCACTATTATAACGATAATGTCAGTTTGACCTGATTATTAGCGAACGAAACATTCCACCATACTTATAATAGTATTATAAATATATATTATAAATGTATTGGGTGTAGAAATTAATTCCTCTGTTTCTACTTTATTATCTATACCCTCTCAAGTTACATCAAAAGAGCCATCTTTCTTTCGCCAGAGAACGACGGATCAAAGTCATCATTAAAACACAGTTCCCTTAAAAAAAAAATTGTTGAAAGTCACCGAATTAATTTCTACGCCAAAAGATACGGAAAAGAAGCGTCATTCTGGAATCCACGTGTCCCGAGGCGATGAATTGGTTACGAATTTCGCGAGTGTTCGCAAAAACGAAGGAGCACGCGTGAATCGTAAAGATGGCCGTCGAGGAGGAGGCTTAATCCTCCGCGTCGAGCCGTGTCTTCGTCTCGGGACGACTTGGCTGCACTTTAATCTGAAATCGGGGGTTCCAGACGACGCTTTTAAGCCGCCGTTGTCGGGGACACGGGAAGGGGGTAAGCGTAACTTTTCGGAAAGCCCTCACGAACTTTGCCCTACCCCATGGGCTGTGTTGCAGCTCTCCGCCATCGTCGATGGGATTTACGCGGAACACGGACACACTGCGGGCTCGTTCACACATTTGGCGAGCGATCGACTGTTGGTGGGTGGAGGCGCCGACGCGAGATCCCTGCAGGGTGCCAAAGGGATCAACAACTTCGTTGGATGCCTCAGAAAGGTGAGATCCGTTTCAGGATCGATGTGATCCACTTTGCGACTTATTCGAAACGGCCCCCGGGTTAGGACGATCGGGACTTAGCGACGCGGACCATGCAAAGTGCTTAAAGAACCGTGCTGGCTGATGTCACGATAGCTCCAGAGTCCGAGGATGCTTGCTTAAAGAGAACAAAGTCTTTCATCGACCTTTGAGAAACATTTTATCGCGTTGATACGACGCATAGTGTGCAAAAAACGTCTAAAACGCGAAGAAAATGGCATTTTTCAAAGTAACGATTATTCTTTATGGGTCGATTATTGTGAATGGAATTGCTATATCATTAGTTGCAAGGTACAAGTAATCATAAAAATTAACAAGGAAACCTAAGTACAAACTTCATAGTTGAATCATAGTTTCATGTCAGCTTTTATTAATTCAAATGATTTGCAAGAAAATGAGAAATTATTTAGTCTGCCTTTAATGTGTAAATTCTTGAACACTTTTTATACTATATTGAAAAATATCTATATATGTAAATGTGTCTTTTATATATACTTTATGCATTAGACAATACCTGTTCTACATAGTTATTATGTTGTGCAATAATATCTCAAACTACTAATAACGAATTAAAAAATCCATTATTTCACATTGAAAATATTTCTCATCAATGAACGGTTAATTCGTACCTTAATTTGACATTAGATTCGTAATCAGCGATCACAGAAACCTTAATATAATAATCAAAGATCAATTTCATATTTTGTCCGCGTTCTGGTCACTTTTTGCCCAACGAAGCCACAAATAACGTTTACCTGGGCGAACCACAAATCAAGTGATTTATTTTTTATTCCCAATTTTGTAAAGTTTACAGTTTTCACAGAAAATTCGATTCGATTTAACGTTGCCTTTCGCGTACGCCAATATTTTCTGATCGTGTAGCGAGACTGCTACGCGGTTCTCGTAATATTTTTTAATCAAAGTTTCCAGCGGAAGCTTTAGGAATTCCGTTTAGGAATTTACAATATTTTTGTGCCCCTCGAATAATTCGTTTCGCCGTAAAATCTTCGCCGGGAGTTCTGCGAAATTTATTTTAACGTCTCGCGCATTTAAAAAGCAAATGGGAGAAGGTATATAAGAAACCGGAGAGGATGGAACTTTTGCTTAATTTTAAATTAAAACCGAAGTATTATAAGTTTCCACGGGGCTCCTCGAAGGATAACGTAACACGAAAACTAATTAAATTATCTTTTCTCTGGGATCTTCCAACGTTACAACGTTATAAACAAACGGGAAACAAGTTCCGATGGAGCATTACTTTACATTATGCTGATCGTTTTTCCAGCGAATCTCGCCCGGCCTTTCGTGAACAGATTTAAAGGAAATTCAATTGCACGCGAAACGTCCATACGTTGGAAAACGGAAACTGTCGCTTAAAACGTTTACGTTTTCATTCATCGTAGATCTCTGCTCTTAATTAGAGGAGAAAACGGTCAGACGTGGTTTTAAAAAAGTAACGAATATTACTGCGCTGTTTAATGTTTCAGTAAAGATTAATTAAAGAACGACTTGAAAACTAAGAAGAATACAAGGTTGAGCAAATTGCGCTTCTACGGTTTTAATTTGTTATCGTTATCACGGTCGCATCGTAGCGTCTACTGCTCGTTGTTTTATCTCGCGACGCCTCGTTTCATTAAAAGATAACACGTTCTTGTCCTTCTGGAGCCAAATACCCTACGCAAACGGGACATAAATGCTCCCAGTTGCTCAGTGTTTGCTTTAATTGAATAAAGAAATTAGTTTGAATCGTGGTCGAGTAAATAAAACGACATGAATTAATTTCTTTTTATTCTAATTATTATTGTTAATACATTTAGACTGTATTTTTTTGTGAGTCAGTAATCATAAAATAATATTTTCTGAGGCATACAGCTAGTAAGATATTAAAATTTCTTGGTATTTTTGTAGTGCAAGTAACGATTTCAAGTAGAAATATAGCGAATATGGTCAGACGGGACCTAAAACATACCGTAGAATTTATATAATCTAAGCAACGTCACTTTCAGTGATTCAGTGATCGACAAATTAATGATTTTTATAAAAATTAACCAAATGCATGCGAGTTAAAATGATTTAAATATCTTTGCAAGTAGAAATATCGAGAAATAGTCAGACGTGGCAAGCAAATCGTACTGAAACGCTCGCGTATCGAAAAAATTTTCAAATTTAATTAAAACACCATATAAAAAATGTACATTCCACTATTTTTTAACATAGAATCCTCCCTCTTAACATATTTAATGAAAAACAGTACCCAAAGTGGAATATCTGTTTAAATACACAGTAAATAAATTTTAAATGCTACGATTAAACATTCCAAGACGTAGGGCGATTATTTCGAGATGTTTATTCTCTCCCTGCCTATAGAATATTTACACGAAAAGTATTGTTAACAGAATCTCAGTTTGTAAAATAGTTTTATCGGGTTTAATCATTCAACGATCACCGTAGGAAGCCCGTTGTCCCGGTTCCCTTAATAAATTTGCCACCGTCGTGCGTTCGTCTGACTCTGCATCCAGTTCCGGGAGGGGTTGGCCAGTTTCGTTAAAAATGAAAATATCCAAGCGGAAGTTCCGAGCGTAACGGGCGCGGCGGCGGTCATTGCGACGCGATGAAATATTCATGGGGGCAACTTTCTTCGCGAAGTCTCGCCGCGAAAAAGCGACGGGAGAGCGAGGGGTAGCATCGCCGCCGTCGGGAACTCGTAACAAAGAAACGAACGATGCAATAAACTGGTCGCAATAACGACGCGTAAAGTAAAAGTCCGATGCGAGGGGTTAACGGCGGCCATAGTTCCTCTGGATATCGCCCCTTAAGTAGCTTTAAGGGCGTACCGACGTGGACTCGCGTAATATGCAAATAGAAATCGCCGCGGGCTTCCTTTCACACCGATTACTTGCCGCGAGTTTTGTCGGAGATTGCGGGAACTGCATTATTATGAGTCCCACTCTGGAACCGTCGCGACTTCTCGTAGACCAGCCTCCAAAAACTGAGCAAATTATCAATTTAGGCAAATAATAGTTTGGGTAGCCTCAGATTATAGGATACTGGTTCGATGAATGGAAATTACCGGATTTTTTCGTGTAGTGTGGACGCACGAGGTGTTGACAACTGTTTCTAGACACACTATAGTGCTAGAAATTTGTCTTTGTAAGGTGAAAGATAAATAGAATTTGAGAAAATTATCAATTTGGGCAAACAATAGTTTGGGTAGCCTCAGCTGATAGGATACTAGGTCGATGAATGATAATTACTTGATTTTTTCATGTAGTGTGGGCACACGAGGTGTTGACAACTGGCTCTAGACACACTTTCGTGCTAGAAATTTGCTTTTGTAACGTTAAAGATAAATAGAATTTGAGAAAATTATCAATTTGGGCAAACAATAGTTTGGGTAACCCCAGATGATAGGATACTGGGTCGATGAATGATAATTACTTGATTTTTTCATGTAGTGTGGACGTACGAGGTGTTGACAACTGGCTCCAACACACTGTCGTGTTAGAAATTTGTTTTTGTTCGATGAAAAATAAATAAAATCCAAGAAAATTATAAAAAAATAGTTTAGGTAACCTCAGATTTATAAATGAAAACTACCAAAACCATTTTGTGTATTGTAGACGCGCGAGATGTTGGCAACTGTCTCTAGCGACACTTTTTTACTAGAAATTAGTTTTCGTTCGGTGAAAGATAAACATAACCCCAGAAAATGATCAAAAAATAGTTTATTCAATATTTAATAAATAAGTAATTCAATAGTCAACAGATTCCTTCGTGTATTGTATACACAAGAGATGTTGTCAACTGTCTCTAGCGACACTTTTACAAGTTGAAATTACAAAAGAAAAATATTGTACGAATCATACCGAAAGATAAATAGAATATCAAAAAAATTAAATTATATACGATCGAATGAATATTTTCTAGGTGTCGTTTTTAATGCACAGTGAAAATAATGTAAAAATATGTGGAGAAAGGAATAAAGTGTAGAAGCGTGTGAAGAAAACAAAGTGCAGTTAGAAGCTGTTTCCAAAATAAACTGTAATAAACGATAATAAGATAGGTACGTTATTTCTAATGTTTTCGACAGTGTATTACGTCGAGATTCTCGAGGTGAAATATTGAAATGCACGTTTCTGTGTATTTCGAGTCCCAGTTAACGTGGATTCAAAAGTACCGGAGCATGATAATGAAAAATATCGCGAGGGAAAAAGTGAAATATTAAAATACGCGCGTGCATTTGTCAAGAAAATTTAAATGGCATACCCTCTTTCTCCCCGCAACCTTTCCTCCCCCCCCCCCGCGAAATAAAGAATTGGTTCGATACTGGTCCCGAAGAAAACAGCGTACACTGACACTCAAAACTTTCGAGCCTCGATCTTCATTTTTTATACTCGTTTGTACCGTTGACAATTTTACCAATGAATATTAGAAGCTTTAGAGGGTTGTAAATATTCTTTTGGAAAAATTCCAAAACTTTCGAAATTCTTCCAGAAATCAATTATTATTCAAATTATTCGATACTGTTTGGTAAATGACTAATACTACTCGAATGTATATTATAATTTTCGTAATAAATTTTGATTCGAGACTCTGAATTTTTCGTCCACGAATTATAATTTCCATCTTATCTAATTTATAATTGACGTTAGTTTTTGTAAAATGTTCGTTTGAAAGATCGAAGGATGCCTCGAACTTTTAGGCGACAGTGTACGCGGTTTTTTCGAACAATGGCGAAAGTTTCATTTTGCGCGAGTACCGCCAGATTTTCGACCTATTGCCAAACCTCGAGGGAAATTCGGCTTCTGTCATTCTTTCCGTAGAATATTTGTTTAACCATAGAGACATCGGGTAATCTATACTCTTCGTCGGATCTCTGAACAATTGGACTTCGTCGATACAAACATCAGATGTTATTGGTACGAATTTATCCACGTAAGGGCTCTATTCGTACACAAATA